CAACTTGTTTATAATATTTGTATTCCTTATTATATTAGAAAATGACAAATCTACAAAAATATGAATAATATCGCGTGTCTAGCTTTGGTCTCTAATATATATATAAATATATACTAATTTTTTATATATTAAAAATGAGTGGATGTAACTTTTTTATTAATCTCCAAAAAGTTTGACTAGTTACGATAGAATTTGTGAACTCGGTAACCAATTGAAGCATTTACTTGTTGCAATAATTTGATCGAATAAGAGAAAAATGTATATTTATTCTAATGTTTTCGATTGAAATGTTAAAAAATTAATTCAAGGTTTCTTTAGATCAACTGATCTTGTTTATTAAATATTTAATATTTAAAAATATAAAAATGAAACATAGTTCAACTCTCTACGTTATTTTTATTATATTATCAAAGAAAAATACATTTATCATTCAAAAAAACTAGCATTGACTATTTGAATCGAACCTGATAATAATTTTATCGATATATAATATATAAATTGTTCTCTTTATGAAGAATGATCTAATTTTCTAAATCAATACAGTTATACAAGTTTAAATTTAGAAGATCGATTAATGCTAATTTAGTAAACATTAAACAACTTAAATAAATTCGATCGATTTTTTTTAATTCGAATTCGATTTAAGATAAAAATCAAATTATTCGAGTTCATTTTATTAAGTTTAATTAACATATAAACATAAATTCAATTTTTATATTCGATAAAAATTCGATTATTTGTACTCGAGTTTAAACTCAAATTCAAAATATTATATCAATTAAAATAATTAAAATATAAAAATTTAATTAAGTTCTTAAGCTATTTGAGTCAAGCATAAAAAAATTTGAATTTGATTCGATCGATAAATCGAAATAATCAAACTTAATTCAGTAATAATTGAATCAAATTCAAATTTTATTTGAATTAAATTCGAATAATTTATGAATATTAATATATCATTTATATCTCTACTTACTATAGCATTCACTCGTTCTTTTTTTTTAAAATCTGTAACTTTTTTATAATTGTTTTTTCTCTTATTATATTAAAAAATGGCAAATTGTTAAAAAAAGTTATGAATATGTTACGTACATCTAACCTTAAAGTCTTTAATTAATATATAAATATAATAATTTTTATATGTTAAAAAAAGTTAGATGTGACCTCTTTATTTAATCTCCTAAAAATTTGAATTAAGTTACATTGGATTCGTGTCCTGGTAACAATTGTGGCATTAACTTGCTATTAGTAACATTGTCGGATGCTAGTGGTTTGTAGTTTTGTCATCAAACTTGATGCTAAAACAACTCTAAATTAATATGCATTTGTTAACTTGTTTATATATATCTATATTTTTTTTCTCTTAATATTTGAAAAATTAAAAATGACAAATTGTTAAAAAAAATTAATATGTTACATTCTTAAAATTACAAAAAAAAAGAAAAATTAATAACAAAAGTTGAGAATAATCTCGACGTTTGTTTTTCGATATTTAAATTATAGATCAATTTAAAAATAAAATAAGAAAGTAAAAGAAAGAAAATATAAAAAGTTATATGATTAAAAAATATATAGATATTGCTATTTATATTTAAGGTTATGGATAGCTTAAATTACCTAAAATTAATCCTAAAGTTTAAAGATGACTCGATAGGTTTTGGCTAACTTGATAATTAATTACCCACTCAGGGTATTAATCAATCTAACATGTCGATTTTGCTGAAAATTTTAAAATGCTATTGAATGTATATTGATTTATATTAATAAAAAAAAATTATTTCGCTCTTTAAACTTAAAAATATCCTTAACAGTAACAATTAATAGTAGTTTATCATAAGCATATTTATTTAATTATTATTAGATAAATCAACCCTAGATATGATAGATGTTAAAAAAAATATTCATGAACAAACAGGCCTAATAGGCCACAATTATTTTCCTTTTTTAATGCAGGTACATTCAATATTAGGCTCCTCTCAACCCAAGTCATTGGGCTTAAAAACGTTTTGTTTTCATTTTTAATGTTTCCAAGTTGGTCTTCATTCTCTTCTCAACCTTGCCACAGGAAGGTTAGTCCGTCACTTTAACCTCTCTAGCTCTAGGCCTTGCCGCAGCCGCTTCTTTGGCGGCTGTTTTACCCCTTTTTCTCTTCTTTTTTTTTTTTTTTCGAATTTTTGGTTTGAATTTTCGGTATTATATCTAACTTAGATTGAATACTTGAATTATGATTTGGGTTTTTTTGTATTGGTTTTTTATTTTGAAGTGAATTTAGTGCTTTTTGTTATTTGATAGTAAATTTTGTTACTTTAGCAGATTTGTTTTAGGTTAAACTTTGGTTTTAGGGTTTAGGGTTTACTTTACCTAGATTTCCAATAAAATTACTTCATGAGTTAAAATTGCTGGAATTGAATCAGTAATTTTGCAATATGGCATGGTTTTATTTAGGAACGCATATAGAATTTCACCTAAGTCTTGCCCTTCAGTTTATTAGCTTGTATTTGGTATAAATTATTTACTGCGCCTTTTGCATTTTTTGTTCCAGTTTGGCATATCTCATTGGTTTGTTTCAAAATCAAAGTTCCCTTAATTCTAGTTTTTGATGTGATTGATACATTGGTACCCATGTCTAGTCATGCCATGTTCTTCTAATTAGTTGAATGTTTCTTTGTTGTTTATGGGTCTTACCCGCTTCACAGAAGTCCAGTTGTGATGTTAGTTTAGGTATGCTGGGAAGAGGGATGGGATCTCCTGTAATTAGGTTTTCTTGTTATATTTATGTTATAGATTGTGAAGCCCAGGCCTGCCTAGGATTTGCCTATGCTATCTAGATATGATCCTTTCTTTTTTAGCTAATCTTTTATTTTCTATAATGTTATGTTTCAGGTTGTAGCTCCGAGAAGTATATTTTTCTTCCTGAAATTCTAAGCTGAGGTTAGAAGATGGACATTGTTTTGAGGGAGAATGAAAATGCTTTGTCAGGTCCAAGGCCAATGGAATGGTCTACCATTCCATATGCTCCTCAAGGACCGGATAGAAATGGAAAAAAACGTACGTCAAGTCTGGAATCACTGATAATGTTGCTAACTGGACATCAGAGTGCAATATATACAATGAAGTTCAATCCAGCTGGAACTGTTATTGCTTCTGGATCGCATGACAAAGAAATTTTTCTGTGGAATGTCCATGGAGACTGCAAAAATTTCATGGTTCTAAAGGGGCACAAAAATGCAGTCTTGGATCTTCATTGGACCACTGATGGATCCCAGATCATATCTGCTAGCCCTGACAAAACCTTGAGAGCATGGGATGTCGAAACAGGAAAACAAATTAAAAAGATGGCAGAACACTCTTCTTTTGTGAATTCATGCTGTCCCTCACGGAGAGGGCCACCTCTTGTGGTTAGTGGATCTGATGATGGAACTGCTAAACTTTGGGATATGCGTCAGAGAGGTGCCATCCAAACATTTCCTGATAAATACCAAATTACAGCTGTTAGTTTCTCCGATGCATCAGATAAGATCTTCACTGGTGGCATTGACAATGGAATTAAGGTTTGGGACTTGCGTAAAGGTGAAGTAACCATGACGCTTCAAGGTCATCAAGACATGATAACAGGTATGAGTTTGAGTCCTGATGGTTCCTACCTTCTCACCAATGGTATGGATTGCAAACTTTGCATATGGGATATGCGCCCTTATGCACCACAGAATCGATGTGTAAAGATCTTGGAAGGTCACCAACACAATTTTGAAAAGAACTTGTTGAAATGTGGCTGGTCACCAGATGGAAGCAAGGTCACAGCTGGTAGTTCTGATAGGATGGTGTACATATGGGATACAACTTCTCGTCGCATCTTGTACAAGCTTCCTGGCCATGCAGGATCTGTCAACGAAAGCGACTTCCATCCCAATGAACCTATCATTGGTTCATGTAGTAGCGATAAACAGATTTATCTGGGGGAGATCTAAACTGTGCCAGCATTTACCTCTTGCTTTCGAATTGATTGTTTGTGATTGCAAGACAAATCTCTTATTGTCCCACGTAGGCCTTTGAAAAGTTATATTTCATATCTGTAGTTTTTAAGCTGAACTTGACATCTTTGTGGACAATGTAATACATTTTGTTCAAAATTATGTGATCAACAGGGTTCGCAATCTTCATGCCTTTGAGGATTGACTTAGGAATACGATTAAGACAACTTCTGAACCTTTGATAAACACAGGTCTGGCTCTAGGGTCATTTTTGTCCCAAATTATGTTAGGGAAACTAGACGTGATCCAACTTGAAAAATGTGTAGAAAATGGCTTGTTTATGCCTTTTTTTCATAAAGGATTGTTTTCTACCTTGGATTGCTTCATTTCCTTGAGTTTGTTGCAAATGATATTTCATGGGAATTTGTTTGAATAATATGATTGATAAGAATAATCTGATTAGAATTCTTTGTTGAATCTAAAATCAAAATTATATAAAATTCGAAATTTAATTTAGTTGATTTTATAGTTATTTTTTAGAAGGGGATAATTGATGAAACTAAAATTTTATACATGTGATTTAAATTTAAATACTTGCAATTCTTTATGCTTGTACAATTAACTTTGAAAAAATTATACAATTATTGTGACCTCATTCTATAAAAAAGAATTATACAATTATTGCCAAAATAACTAGAACTTTTAATTCTGCCAAAAATTAACTTTGAAATTCTCAAATTGAGTTAAATCAAAGAATAATAAGATGGCATTTACATTAAATTTTTAAAAAAATTTTTCCAATCCTCCCAAAATTGTTTTTATATGTAATTTTGCCCATTTTCAAGAAAAAAAAAAAAAAAGACAGGATGTGCATTTTTTAATTGTTGAAGCACCTTTTTCTAATTTGCCAAAGGCCAAAAACTAGCCGTTATAAAGCTTAAAATTTCTTAGTTTTAAAAACAAAGCAACCTCTCTCAACGGTCACATTTCCGGCTTTTCCACTTGAAAAATCGAACGTTGACCCCGACCTTCTCACCTTATATACCCTACTCTCCTTCTCATCTTCAACCAAAGAAAAAGGCTTCAATCTCTCTCAATTTGCTTCAATCTCTGTTTTGCATCAAATTCAATCCCAAGGTCTATTCAATGGGTCTCTCAGTTGAGAATTCGGTAACACGGTCTCACAGCCGAACCCACAAAATCTTCCTCGTTAGCAACTACATTCTCTTGGGAGCAGCCTCCAGTTGCATCTTCCTCACCCTCTCTCTCCGCTTATTCCCTTCCTTATGTGGCTTCTTCCTTATCCTCCTCCACGTCATCACCATAGCCGGCGCCGTCTCTGGTTGTTCCGTCGCTACTTCCGGGTCCAACAAGCGCTACGCAGCTCACATGGTGGCGATGGTGCTGACATCGATTTTTCAAGGCTCTGTTTCGGTGCTTATCTTGACCAGAACTTCTGATTTCTTGGGTTATTTGAAGTCATACGTAAGGGAAGACGATGGGGTTATCATTCTGAAGTTCGTTGGTGGGTTATGTATGGCTGTTTTTTGCTTGGAATGGGTGGTTTTGGGGCTTGCATTTGTGTTGAGGTACTACGCTTTTGTGGAAGGTCATGGGGTTGGTAATGGACAATCATCAAATCAGAGGAATGGGAAGGTTCAAGATGAAGATTTGAAGAATTGGCGATGGCCTTTCCAAGTTTAGACTTTATTTGCTTTTGTTGTTGGGTAATTCCACATTAGTATTGTAAAATACTTATTCATTTCCTATTCTTGTATTGCTTGTTTATCATCAATTTGTGATCAGATTGGTTAAATTCGTTTTATCAAGTTCAATAAATTGTTGATTTGCTTGTAATTTTTCCTTGGGATTTAAGTTTCTTGATTTACTTTATTTTCTCGATGGAAAAATGTAAATCACATTCTTTTAAGAATGTATAACTGCTAAATTCAATTTTCACTAAGAATCTAAATTTATATATTTCCAGCCAACAGTCGTGTTGATCGTTGGAGCGCTCTATTATTTCAGCGATTATGGTTCATTTGAACGGGCTGCTGCATTTTAATGTTAAGATTCACGGGAAGCTTAACATTAATGTTGGTGCTGCAGAGAAACCATTAGACCGGCTCTCCTTTCCTCCAGGGTAAAAAATATATTGTCAATATGTGTTATGTACGAGTGAGGTGAGGTCTCCATTATAATTTGGAAGCATGATTAACACGAGGAGATAGTCGGAGGAAGCATGATTGAAAAGGATGATTCAGCTCAATAGATGACTGGTTTTGCAGCAAAACACAGCATAAACCAGCATACCTATATATAAACCAGCAAGACACTGCCATCTCAAAGCAGATGTTAAATTAATAAATAATCTCCCAAGGAAATGATAGTTGTTAGGAGTGTTCTTCTTGCCAGATTTTGCTCTGATTGAGTTTGCAAAGCACTGAGCTTTCACTGGTTCTATATCACTTTGGCTGAGTTCTATATCCCACATCTTGAACACTTTAAAAGGGTTTGGGCGAGGCAAGTCATAAAGGAGAAGTTGAGACAACTTGAAATGCATACCTTTCTCGGCCTTTTGGCTAAGATCAAGTGTAGTATCTGTTCTTATCAGTTTAATATCTGATACGTGGGTCATTGACCCACATGATATTAAATTAATTTTTTAAGGGGGAAGGCCCATTACAGTAGCTTGCTACTGGGGTCTTCGAGCGTAGCCCATGCGTTGCACTACTGCCCGGGCCTGGCGCGCCCCACCAATTTGAGTCAAAGTTATTTGAGTTGTTCTTTATACTGATACTTGAATATTAAAAGCAGGCAAATGAGGTAGTTGTAACAACTTGATTATGTGGTAGATCTTTGATAACAGAATATATTAAGAATTTTGCTATAATGTACTATAGCTTTCCGTCATACTGAAATCGGGAGGGCATGCTACGAAATATTTAGAGCGCTAGACAAAGCAAATCAGATCAAAAGAACGACAGAATATCGAACTGAAACAGAATGTTGAAAACCAACATAGACACAATTTGATTCTGCAAAGTAATAGACTTATTAGTATTGCGAAGTCTTGGATGATTAAAAGTCGGATTTACTTTCATTTGAGCCAGTTTATCAATTCATTTTGTTGGAAACACTAGCTTCTCATGTTTACTCTAATGAATACTAACTCAACATTCCATATATGCCAGGTTTCTGTAAAGTGTCCACTTGATTTGATCAAACATTGATAACTGAGCAATGTTTTTTAGGACCAACCAATCTTGGTTTCAAGTATAGCATACTGCAACATTTGAACGATTGTTCAAACACCCTGAATAACAAAACAAATTAATCTACAAGAATTTATATCGACAGTTGTAGAGATCATGGTCATGTATAGAAATAACAGATTATAAGAAATAGAGAAACATCAAGAATCAGAAACGAAAGTTTGGTATATTTTTAAAAATCATGTGACATAAGGACTTGGGTGAGGTTTAGGGTTTGGGTTCCAAATGACAGTTTCATTATAATTTGGGTACCCTTTAAGATTACAAACAAAAAGAAAATAAAACATAACCCTAACAAATACATACTATAAATGACATTAAAATCAATTAGTAGCTGTCATGTTCTTTGAATCCCTGTCAGAATCAATGGCAGGCAATGAAATATTTAGATCAAAATAAAAAAACAAGCATTTTATAACGGCACAATGTACATGTATTACTCTCTTTAAGCCATTTAACAATGCAACCTGTATGATAAACATGGGAGCAAGACAGGTGTTTGGCTTTAGTCCCGATTGAAACATCTTTAAAGCACACTGAACACAACACTAATGATCTTTCATCAACCTTTACCTTTTCCAACCCTTCAATGGCTGATTGACTAGAAGGCCTAATCAGCTTTGGAGGATCTTCATCAACAAAAGCATCCTCAAGGAACTCCATAATATCATCATCAGTATTGAATACGACCATATCTTCCATGTAAGCATCATCATCCCTTTCATTATTAGGAAACATGTTGGATAATGGTATGAATAGAAAAGCCTCATGTCCCTCTAAACTCAAATGCCAACAGGGGATTAAAATTTGCTCTAATTCATCAGTCATATTCAAACTTGAAATAAAGAAAGAATGCAATAAACAGAAGAATGGAAGGTTGCAATTTTTTTAATTGCAATTTTTGAAAGGCAAACTTATGAGAAATTTATAATACAAGAGAAGAGGTGACCATAAGTTTTGCTTAATTTTGAATAATTATTAATCCTACTTCAATTAGGAATGAATTTCAGTATTACTAAATTTTGGACACCCTTGTGTGGCTGGAAAAAAGTGAAAAATATGAGAAAAATAGGTGAAAGGAGTTTTGTGTTAAAATAAATTGAAAATTTTTTTTATTGTTGCATGAGAAAAAATAAATTTTGTATTGATATTCTTTATTTTATATATATTATATAATATAATAAAGAAGTAATAAGTAGTATTTAACTGTCCAATTCTCTGAAATATTAAAATTTATTAGGAGTGATTGTGGATTATATGTAAATGGCATATTTACCTTATTTTTTAATTTAATTAGTAAATGGCATATTTTTATTTGATTGTTTTTCCTTGATGAAACGTTAAAATATTTTGTCTAAAGTCCAAGTTCATATCCCTCATCGCAAAGGAAACCAAAAGATAACGTGGAAACAAGTCTAAAAAGGAAGCCCGAACATTTTTTCTAATCCTGTGTTAATGTTCACTGACCCACTGGATATTAAGCAATTAATTGGGACTAAAGCTTATCTAGGCCTTTTGAAAGGGTCCATAACCCAAAAATTATGTGTATAAAAGAATATGGAAATTTCTGGGTCATGGACCCCCGGCTCCAGTGAGTAGCTGCAGCTCATGTTGCCCTCCTTTAAGTAATTAAGGTGCGAAGATGAAAAATAGAAAGGTGCGCTTGAGAAGACGAAAAATAGAAAGAAAATACGTACTTACTAAAAAAATAAATTACTTCAAATTGGAAAGATAAGAAAAAAAAATAATAATACAAATGTGAATCAAATGTATATATTTACAAAATTATACATATTTTTTATATTATCTTTTTTATAATTGTAAAATCATACATAATAAAATAAAATAATTTTCATTTTCCTTCTTCTCAATTTTCTTCCTTTCATTTTTCGTCTCCTTTAATTTTTATTAAATGCTAAATTTTATTCATCGAATCAAAAGGAAGGAGGCTTGCTACAAAAAAAACACAGCCGCTAACCCAAAGGTATGGCAATGGATATCTTGTAAATGAGTATTCCGATTAAGTAAGAATAAGATATTTTACAATCAGATTTAAATAATAAATTTACTATTCATCATGGTTTCGGATAATGATCTTAGAGTACTCGCTATTTGAATTGGATTATTAAATAATTCATTAAATATTTTAATTATGTTTTTTAATTTTAATTTATTTTTTATGAGTTAATTTTAATTGATTAATTTAAAAAATTTTAATAATATCTTTAAAAATCAATTTTTTATTGAATAAACAGTTATTTAATGGGTGTAGATAATTAATATATATTTTTTATATATTATATGAGTAGAATTTAGATAACAAAAATTAAAAATATTCAAATAATTATCAGATTTAAATATTTTGAAAAATATAAGATTTGATCAACTCGATATCGAAAAATCTCAAATAAAAATAATAGAATATTTAACAAATAGAAAAAACTCCATATACCACCATTTTTTTTTTTTTTTTTGCGAAATTTTCCACATTTTGCCTTCATTCTTGAAACCGACAGCTGAGGTGCTCCAAAGGCTATGGAAAATTTTTCACAAATTTTCAAAAAAAAAAAAAAGAAGACTTCGAATATGATGTGCCTTCACTCTTGAAACTGACTGCTGAGGTGCTCCAAAGGCTATGGAATTTTTTATCCACAATCATTGAATTTAGACATTATTTCCTTCCAAATTTTCAAAAGAAATGAAAAAGACATTGAATATGATACGAGGGGAAGGAGTTGAAAAATTAATTATTATTTTACTAAATAAAATATTATCCTATATTAGTTAATCAAAACCAATCACATTATTAAACAAAATTATTATTACAATACACATTTGTTAATCAAAACAACTTAAATTCTGTGTCCCAAATTAAATTTGATAATTCATGTATTTTTGTTATAAAATATTAAAATTTATATATTCATATTATGTTTATACATAAATTATAATTTGTATTGAAACGAAAATATAAAATATATATTTTTTTAATTTTGTTAAAACTCATATATAATTATTCTTCAACAAAATCATCTAGAGCTATAGAGGTTTTTGATAATCAGCACAAAATCATCTGCAAACACCATACTCAGATGATGAAGAACATGTTGCCATATTATAATTACCATTCTGGGGGACGCAAACACGATAATAAGCAGATGTTGCATGACTGTCAATATCTCCTAAAACTATCATATGGACCTTTGCATTGGTGCAAGGTAAATTAACAACCTAATGGTATTATCCAACCAACCAACTCCATTTTGAAAATAAAATTGATAGTTCAACCACATTTTTCTGTCTTTACATGAGATAATGATCCCTTCCCTTCAAATGGCTGCCCTTCCCCCACGTTACCCTGACTCTTGATTGCTTCTAAAGTAGCTGTTTCAGAAACATTCCGACACTTCAAAGTAAACATAGCATATTGGGTCTTGCCCTGTAAAGTATACTAAGAAAAAAAATGAATGTGCGCTTGTCAAACACATACTGATGTCTAACACTCACTCCCTAGCCCAAACAGCATGGCCTTTCCCTATTTGTCTTTAATGTTTTGAACCCTTTACCCACCCTAGAAAATCTTGTTCTATCTTCAAGGTGACTCTTATTCTAACCAAACAATTATTTTTTAAAATCCAATAAAACTATTACTATTTGTCAGCAATCCATTTGGTAAGTTCAATTAAAAATAAGTGAAATCAAGATAATTTGCTTCGAAACTATTTATATGCGTCTAAAAAATATTTTAAAAGTATGCTCATATGCATGTTTTTTCTAACTGAAGTTACACAATATTGTACCTTTAAGCCATGATTTGGATTTCACCATTGCCACTTGATAAATGGGTCAAATCCTCATTATCATCAAAAACTTTATCTGAAATCCTTCCAACAACTTCCTTTGGCTTCTGCATTAAAGATGACACTGATGTTAGCAACATGGTCACCAAGAATAAGGGCCAACTTTGACTGCTGGTAAGGAAGAATAATACACCAATTCTAACCTGGAAAATTGATTTTATAAGCGCCTCATCTCCTTATGGGTGTTTTGATGGATAAATATATAACATTAGGATTTCAAGTTCACACCTAAAATAAGGGCTGACAAATTTTCCTTATTTGATACCCATAAACACAGTCGAAACAAAGAAAAAATATGCATGTTATTTAATTTTTTGATGACAGTAATGTTGCATGTATCTCTAGCATAAAACACAAAATGTTGGTTCAAGTACCTTCATAGACTTCATTTCATCAAGTGCAGCAAGGATGTCCATCTCTCTTTTTGAATCCAACGTTGTGTTCTCCAAAGATTTCATGGCATCCCCCCTTTCTTCAGATTCTCTGTTCTGTCTCTCCTTCTCTGCTTCCTAACAAAATAAAAGATGAAAGATTTTACCATAAGAGCCATAACTAAACATCCAGCACTGTTCAAACAACTATAACAAACATTTAGCTAGATGCACAAAGCTCTCACCTCATCCTCAGCACGCCAAGGTTCAAAATCTCGTCGCACCCGATTCGACAACATAATCTGAATTTTGTGGATCAGTCTTTGTTGTAATCTGAGCAGAGCACTTGGTGCATTTGAAATAAAACCTAAATATTTGGATTCCTAAATATGTCTGCAAATAATTGAAATACAAAAATAGGAAAGGTAATTAAAATCCACTAAAAACATCCAACAGAATCTTACAGAGCAAAAAATAGCTTTTGATCGTTGCTTTTGGTACATTTTTTTTTTGTTTTGCGTTCGAAATTTGTTAAACCGAAGCTAAATAGTAAAAGGAAAGCTTAAACTAACCTCGCCGACGACATCTTCTTTGCGGGAATTGAAGTTGGTGCCTTTGTAGATGTAATTAATTACCGCAGGTTTTGCAACGGATGCTCATCGGAAGCATCATTCGAACCTTCATTTGTTGGTTCTTGGGTGGCCGGACCCTCGGAAGCTTCGACGGATCGAAGTCCGGCGGGTAAAACATGTTCAACACATTTCTTTCTCCCATCTTTCAAATCAAATTATCAATTCACTCGACTGAAACAACAATAATAGAATATATAAGAAATAGAAAAACCTCGCCATACCATTCTTTTTTTTTTTGGTGAAAATTTCCACATTTTGCCTTCATTCTTGAAACTGACTTCTGAGGTGCTCCAAAGACTATGGAATTTTTCATCTACATTCATTGAATGTAGACATTATTTCCTTACAAAGTTTCAAAAAAATGAAAAAGACTTCGAATATGATATGCATCACAAGGGGCCGGAGTTGAAAAATAAATTATCATTTTATTAAATAAAATATTATTCCACATTTATTAATCAAAGCCAATCACATTAATTAAACGAAATTATTACTGCACTATACATTTATTAATCAAAACAACTTAAAATTTGGTGCTCAAATTAAAAAATTCAAAAAATTTTCAACTGCAAGTGACAATAATCTAAATCCAAACTTATAATTTTAGGAAAAAATTATCAAATATATTATTAATGAAAAATTTAATTTATATATATTTTTAATATATATTTAAAAATAAAAAATAATTTAAAAATAATATATATTTAATTCACTTATTAACTAAAAAATTTTGACAATATATTAAATAATTTTTAAAAAAAATTGAATAATTAATCATTATAAGGTCTCAAAGTAATATATTTTTTTGCCCTTTGACTGGAGTGTTGTTTCATAACTGTGACAACTAAATAAGTACAAATATCTGCACGGCTTCACACACAAACCAAAAAGGAAAAAATGGCTGCTGCTTCTTCTTCTTCTACTCCTTTCTTCAATTCCTTGACTTCTCTTTGCAACTCCAAGAAGAAGCCATCCTTTGACCTTTCTCTCCACACTCTCAAATTGGGTTTTTTTGGACCCACCCCCAACTCTGCCATTGCTTCTCTGAGATTGAAGAAGCTGAATTATGGTAAAGGATCGAGTTCTGGTTTCTCTATTGTATGTAAAGCTGTGTCGGTTAAGCCTGACACTAAGGTCGAAGGACTTAACATTGCTGATGATGTTACTCAGGTCTCATTCTTATTCTTTATTTGATATTTGTTTCTTTAATTTGATTGGATTTGAGAAATGGGTTGCTTTTGTTTTTAGAAGATTTGGCTTTCAGTGTTTTGTTTGCATGGAATTCTGAAGTGGGTTGTATTTGTTTCTTGGAAAATTTCAAGTTTTACTTTATGGGTTCTTACTTTTAGTTGTAATATATATATATATATATATATATATATATATGGTATTTTATGTGAATTAGATTTTGAGAATTGGTCAGAATTGTTGAGATCATTTCCTTTTCTGGTGTAATTTTTATGGGGATGATGGTATGGTTTTAACTTTGTTCAAATCTTTGTTTAATGTGGATTGGTGTATAATGTATTTCATTCTGATGTAAGAGTCTGGTCATAATGTTGAAGGGAATTTTGCTTAGAAGAGAAACTTATTAAGTTCTCCATAGTGAAATTCTGAGAATTGTGTGATTGGTTGCCATAGTCTTTAACTTTGGAGGAGCCTAGGTGGTAAAAATAGTTTTTAACTAGCACAAATTAACAAAAATATTTATGAAGTTTTTAACTAGCACAAATTAACAAAAATATCTGTGAATTTCAGTTGTTCTATGATTCCAACTTTGTTAATTAGGCTGGGTAAATTGATGAAGATTAGAACAAAAAAGTTGAAAGGCTTTTGTGCAGTCAAGTCTGTGATAGTGTTAGATTAGCATTAAGATTAGCTCATTTGAAGTTTTTTGTTTCTTTTATAAGGATTCCATATGTCTGAATGAGTTAAGGCTAGTTGTTCTGCATCTAGAAAGATTATTTCTTCGATTAATGTTTAGAAATAATTCAGATTATCAAAACATGTTGAAAAGTTTGATCTTTTTTGCTGGTCTATTGTGTTATATGAGGGAGTTTGGTTATATTAATCCATTTTCTTCCCTCAATTCTTCTTAGGTGACAAAGAGATTGGGCACAGGATTATTATCCGAATATGTTCTTGACTTGTGTTTGTTGACATAAACATAAGTGTGCATTCACAATTGCATATTATTACCAGTTAGGGAGGAGGAGGGGGAAGGGGGTTTTTTGATACCATATTGGGTATGCTAGATTCTAAATGTGTGGTTTGATTTGCTTGTCTTAAAGTTTTTAAGCTGCTTTTTGTTTACTAATATCTTGTTAATGTTCTTAATTTAATATTGCCCTCCTTTGATTTTCTCAATGTGTGGTGCTGAATGGTTTTATCTTGTCGATAATGTTCTCCAAATACATTGTGACTGGTCATTCCATCTCATAAAAGTACAGGGCTTGAATCCTGTTTTTCAATATGAAACCCTTTAGTGTTTTGCTAGGAACATGTTTTATCTCAATGGAGAAAGAAGTGATCCCCTATGAATATATTAATCAATGCACCTTTCTCTTTCTTCTTGTGCTTTGTTTCATTATTTATTTTGTTCTATTGCTTGTCTTGTAACACAGCTTATTGGGAAAACACCAATGGTGTACTTGAACAATATTGTGAAGGGCTCTGTTGCAAATGTTGCTGCCAAGCTTGAGATCATGGAACCATGTTGCAGTGTGAAGGACAGGTAACCAAACTTTTCTTAAGCATCTTGTAGCTTGTATGCATCGTTAGCAAGCTCATTGTTTGCTGATAGTTAAAAACCATCCATGAGATTTTGGAGAGAATGTTTGTTTAATTTTGTTGAACCCTCTGCTAAAATTTTGATAGTTATCACATTGTTCTTGATGCTGGTATATTTTAAGGTGAGTTCAACCAGGCAGTCAGTTCTAAAGAACTTTATGCGTCACGTGCACATAGATAATTAAGTCCTCTAGCAAAATTTATACATAGATGAAGCTAATATCCTAATTAAACTTCCAGAATCTCTTGGGTGAGGTTTAAATGCCACTATTTGTTTCATCATTAAAAATTTCTAATCCTAAAGAAAAACTGGAAATTAATATCATTTATAATTGGTTTCAGGATAGGGTACAGTATGATTGCTGATGCTGAGCAAAGAGGAGTTATAACACCTGGAAAGGTAATGGGAGGTAGATGGAACTTCTGTCTATGAGTGGATGTATAACAACTAAATTTTTAGTCAAATTTGCATAGTTATGGCATGGTGCTCACTGTTTCTTCAATATTTCCAGAGTATTCTTGTGGAACCTACAAGTGGAAACACAGGCATTGGCCTTGCATTCATAGCTGCCTCAAAAGGATATCGACTCATCTTGACAATGCCAGCATCAATGAGTTTGGAAAGAAGAGTTCTTTTTAAAGCATTTGGAGCTGAGCTTGTTTTAACTGATTCAGCAAAAGGCATGAAGGGGGCAGTTCAGAAAGCTGAAGAGATTTTGAAAAGCACACCCAATGCCTACATGCTTCAGCAATTTGATAATCCAGCAAATCCTAAAGTTTGTATTTACAACTCCTTCTTAGTACCTTGTTGAATTTTGTGGCTTTAGGTTAAAATTCATGTTTTGTTTTGCAGATACACTATGAGACAACTGGTCCAGAGATCTGGGAAGACACCAGAGGCAAAGTGGACATTTTTGTTGGAGGGATTGGAACCGGTGGAACCATATCTGGAGTTGGTCGGTTCCTTAAAGAACAAAATCCTATAATCAAGGTGAGCATTCCCCTTTTATCAAACCCTTGATGGCATTTATCTCACATGCCCTTTTGAACATTATTGCATTCAATTTTACAGAAACGTTTTAGAAATTTATCACCAAAGAAAAGTGAATTTGTAGCATCTCCTACTATTGATTGTCTTGGCGGGAAAAATCTTTTCCAGGAGGGCCTTGCCTTCTTTTGCAACTGGTCAATGACTGTTTGTATTTGACTTTGGATGTATCAGGTTATTGGTGTGGAACCTGCAGAAAGCAACATACTTTCTGGTGGAAAGCCTGGTAAGGGAAGATAATTTTTAGAATATAAATATCTTCTTGTGTCATTTTGAGGAAGGCATATCCTTTATTGACACCCCAAGAAATACAGGTCCTCACAAGATTCAAGGGATTGGAGCGGGTTTTGTACCTAGGAATTTGGACCAAGATGTGGTTGATGAAGTCATAGAGGTCTGAGTTTTATTTTCCTTCTTCCTGGTTCATTGTTTGTGATTGCTGTAAGTCAACTTTTAGGTGGCCTTATTTTCAACTAAGCAGTAATTGAGGTTTTCTTTCTACCAAGTTTCTCTATTGGCTCCAGTTCATGAACTTTCTTTTTTGTTTTGGTTGATACAATTTAAATTAAATTTGCAGTGAACAGTCCTTTTAAAGTTGATTAACCAGGAAGATGGTCAAGTTAATTGTTTCTGGAACTGTTCTACATGTTGAATTATTTTTCATTTAGTCACATAAGGTTTTCCCCCTTCAAGTATTTGGATATATTAATTGATTCATCTGCAGGCAAGGTGATGTAGTTGGAAGTATAGCATTTTGTGACTGATTCATATGAACTTGAATGCTCTCCAATGTGCATAACTTTCTTTAAAGAAAATTGTTTAAACCAAAGGCTATGTTTCTTTTCTGCTTGATATTTCTTGTAGGGCTTGAATGCACCTTTGTGCTTCTAACTTGTATGTTCTTGTCACGGTCTGATTCAAGATTTATTGATATAAACTAACTGTTTTTTTATATTAGAGAAGTATTATATAACATATAATTCAATTTTATTTGGTTTGGTTTTTCGTTTACTACTGTGATGATTGAATTGGTGGAGAGCATTAGTTTCTAAGATCTATCAAACCTAACCAGATAAAACTGAAATGGAAAAGGTAAAAAATTGGAAGTCAACTGGTGCTGGTTTCATGTATGGCTCTCATGTCAAGCATATTTCTCATAAACCTAACCAGATAAAACTGAAAAGGAAAAAGTAAAATAAAAAGGGAAATCAACTGGTTCTAGTTGCATGTATCGTGTCAAGCATATTTCTCATATTTCCATGTGTTTCAAGTCAAATTAGATGTCTAAATTGCATTTTCAATTTCAAGCTCTTATTGTTTCATGTGTACCTGCTGATGGATTTGAATTGACAGATATCCAGTGATGAAGCTGTTGAAACAGCAAAACAATTAGCCCTTCAGGAAGGCTTGTTGGTAAGTTCTTTAAATTTACAGTGACTTCAATTTTTGCAGTTAAAGCTAAAGTAAATGAAGGTCCTTTACAGACTTTTACTTTTAATCATCCCATTGTGAATGCAAGCAATAGGAAGTCAATGCAAATGGAAAGAAGCCTCTTTTTTTGGTACATATGAGGTCCAAGGCGGTGGGAGGTTTTCGAACCTGGGACCTTAACCCTCCTAAAGAGTGGCAACATCCATTAGGCCAACTCTAGGCTGTTGGAGAGAAGTCAAGTTAAAACTACAGGAGAGCTAGAGGGAAAAATAAATATTACTAATTTAGTAAGACTATTTTTTCTCCTTAAGCTTGTTGGTTTGATGGATATTGGTCATGCATTTACAGACTGGTCTGCTTAGTGAGCTTGTTTTACTCATTGAAATTACAAAATCTTTTATTCTGACAAGAATGAGGGAACTGTGTCCTGTGGGTTAAGTTTATTATCTTCGCATCTGGTTTTTGTCCAACTTAAGATTAGTGATAGCTGGATGTAGAGAGCCGTAATGGAGTTGGGTCTAGCTGTGTATTTACTTGCTCTTGCTGAGCTTGATCTCAAAAGGGCAATTTCTGGCTCTGCTTGACTTTGAACTGAGGTTTAGCTATGCCTGTACAACCTGGTCTGTAACACTTCAGCCAAGCTCAAGCCCAGCTTGGTTGGCTTGCCATTCTAGTAAATTCTTCTGTTTTGGCTCAAGCAGGACAACTTGGCGTTAGAAATCTTCACCATAAAATCAAACGAATTACATACAAACATAGTATGAATAAGAAAATCAAGCAAAAAAAAAAAAGCACCCTAAATCAAGGGAACAACCTGAAAACCAATCAAGTATAATTGATGAGGAGAATGATGGTTCAATTGGTTCTTGAAAGGAACCCAATTGCTTCCTGCATTACCCTTTTATTTTTTTCAATCTCTCTCCCATCTTCCTGTGTCTATGTTGAATCTCCATCTCTCTTGTTTCTCTGTTAAACTGGAAGATGACATTTACTGGCTTTGGTATGTAAAGTGACAGCTTGGAGTAGGTCCTGGAATTCTTAATAAATTCAATGTCTAATAGATGTGGTATACTATTCCTCCATTGCTAATTTAATTCATTTTTAGCCAATTAATTTTATTCATTTACAATGTGATATCAGGTTGGCATATCCTCTGGAGCAGCAGCTGCGGCTGCAATGAAGGTTGGGAAAAGACCCGAGAATGCTGGGAAGCTGATTGCGGTGAGTTAATTTCCATACATTAAGGGAAGAATACTTGTATTTGGAAATTATAAACATCAAATATAACTTGGAAGCTAGTTGAAGTACATTATGTTAACAAATTTCAGGTATAAATTTTATTCTTGCCAACAAATTGAATGAAGGTTCCATACCAACTTAGATAGCCATCTAAGATGAAATTAATCCTGAACTATACTGTTAAACTTGCATTTTGCATGTACGTGTGGGTTTTTGGGGAGGGGGAGGGCAGAGTTGAGAGTGTATGGGATGTAGTGGAAAAACCAAGTTATGGAGGTGTGATTATCACCGTGAATGACCGGGTGATGTTAAAGAAAGGTATGAACTAAAAACCTCATCTGACCATGTCCAATCAGAAGCCAAACCCTTCTATTGTGGTGCTATATCACCAACTTGCCTAATTTAGCTGCTTTATTCCCTAACCTTACCCCCTCCCTCTTCTTTTTTATCTTTCTTCACTTCTTTAATGCATGAGTGCATTCATACATGCGTACACGTCTATGTGTGCGTGAGAAACTAATAAAAGCAGAAAATGACTAACTGGTGGCTAATAGTTTTACCTGTATTATTAATTGGCTGGCCAATGGTCTATGTTATAGAGTTATAGTGGATTCCAAAAGCATGGTTCCCATTCTTTACACTTTCTCTTACTTTTTGACATTTAACACAGGAAAATTCTAAAAGCACGCTTCCCACTCTCAAACACCTTGTCTTACTTTTTGGCATTAGCCATCTTAAAATCAGTTGCATAGGTCTTCACTTACCCAAATATATATAATATATGAATTATCAAGTAATTATTGTATGCTTTTCTTCTTTTTGGAAGCTACGCAACCATTTTCAAACACGTCTCTTACGATTTTCCAGTCATTCCGTTAAGGCAGCATAAGTTGGGAACAAATATTCAATATCATCTGAAACATCTTTTATTCTTGTTTAGCCATGATATAACTCGCGAGAATTTGAATACTTTCAGGTTGTGTTTCCAAGTTTTGGCGAGCGATACCTTTCCTCCGTACTTTTCCAGTCTATTCGAGATGAATGCGAGAAAATGCAGCCTGAACCATGAAGAATAAAAAAAAATATTTTTCCCTTTCCCATAGATTTTCTACCTTTTGCTAATGGTATGTATGCAATTTCTTAAACAAAAGTTGTCTTTTTATATTAGACTGTTATAGAAGTCCTCAAAAATGATGCAGAACTCTTAACAAACGAAAAGGAAAAGTTGTAACATTCCCTTGCTAGGTAGTTTCGTTGTTGTTTTACTGTGCTTGGTGAATATTATGTACAGAGGGTTGATCCTATGGGGCCCATATGGAATGCAAAGTAACAGTTGACACCTAAGATAGCATGTAAGAATGATGGAGACTGAGAAGAAATATATATATATATATATATATTTAAAGTCGATCCTTAACTCTTTGACTTTATTTTTACGTAATTCATTTGAGGAGAAATTTACGTGTTTAAGTTTGGAACTCATAAATTTAAAGAGAATATGCCATATGAGGTAATGCTGTTTAAAATTGTATTATTGTTTTGATTATTCATTCAATAAAAATAATGTATCTCTGCCTTGATAATTCACACCACTTTAGTGAATGGATATATCCTCATAGATTGGAAAATTAAGACCCAAAAAAAAAAAATATATATATATATATATAAATTAACTTACTTTAAACCAAATTGTCAGTTAAAACCAAGATGAAAACATGCAATAAAAAGTTCTTTCATAATTAGGAATGTTCATAATTTGATTTTAATTGAATTAATTAATTGAACAGATTTAATTTGATTAATTAATCTGTCATCGAGATAATTTTAATAGGTTAACAAAAGTGATATAAAAAAAATTAAGTTTTTGGTCCAAACTAGAAATATAACAAAATTTAAATATAAAATAAAAAAATAAAATGACGTATTTTATTTCATAAGTTATTTGAGTTTTTAACATAATATTTTATTATTTAAATATTTTATTGAATAATTATATTTAGTTTATTTAAATATGAGAAATTAAAAGTTTAAAATATAATTTAATTTAAATGCATTTATTATTAAATCAATAAAAAAATTAACTTTGTTAATTTTTAAAATTTATAAATTTGATTCAATTAACAAAAATAAAAAATACAATTTAATTAATTTATTTTTTAATTCAAAATTAATCAAACAAATCAAATAAATATTCCTACTCATAATTTATATTTTATGAAAGGAGAGTGGTATTTGTTTAGCTTTTTGTAAGTAGAAAAATGTAAAATAAACAAATTAAAATTGGTTTGAATTAGTATTCAAAGCTAGGAGTGAGTAAATAATCGCTTCGGTTGGTTCGGTTTGAAAAAATCAATAATCAACTTAATCGATTTTCATTTAACAAATAACTAAATCGATCGAATATTATTAAATAAACAATCATAATCGAACCGATCAAAATCGGTTCGGTTCAATCGATTAGGTTAAATAATCGATTTTTTTATCATTTTTTTCTTATTATTAATAATTATTTAATCATAAATTCAATTCAATAAAATTTAAACTTTAGTATCATTTAAATTAAATTACTAAAGAATTTAATAATTTTAATAATATTTTACAAAAAATAAAAAATAAAAATATTTATTTCAAAATTTTTTATTTTTAATTATTAAAAAATTGATTAATTCGATTAATACGAATATTAATTTTAAAAATAAAAATTTAATTAAATTAATCAATTTAATCGATTTAAAAAATCGATTATAACTAAAATCTAATAAATTAAATCAATTCAATTGAATTCGTTTGATTTCATCAATCTAATCAATTTTTGTTAACCTTTATTCAATGAATAACCTCATTAAAAAATTTCAGACTGTCACATGTTTAAATGAAAGACCTAACCCTTGAAAAAAAATTTATAAAATCAAAAGGGCAGTCAGAGAGGTCCCCCTATGATCCTAGACTTAGGTTATAATAAAAAACAAAGGAGTGGAGAATAAATAATTTCAAGTGTTTTAGTCCGTTTTTAACTAATTTTTTCAACATTAAAAATTCCAAAATTCTTTTTAAGTTAATGCTGCTTTTGTCCTTTGGAATCTGTCTTGACTTTTAAATCATGACCAAAGACTTCAAAAAAAAAAAAGGACCCCACTTTGGTCGATGGATTCCAAGCTTGCAGAGCACATTCAATGTATTTCTCGTGAGTTGATTGATCCACATCCATTGGCCACGAAATAAATTATTATTGTTTTGCTGAATTCTAAGAAGAAGGTACAGTTGGAAAAAAAATATTTAGTTTGATAATTTAAAATATGGTATAATAATATAATATAATATAATATAAATTAATATATAAAAATAATATAATTTAAAATTTTAATAATAATTATATATAAATTTAATAAAAATAAAAATAAAAATATATTTTATATTTTTATATTTATATAAATTATAATTAATAATTTTTATATAAAATATGATATAAATATAATATAAAAATAAGACATAAAATTAGTCTTATTGAAATCATGGAATGCATTCCATTTGTTGTTGTGTGGAATATGTTTTTGGGATAAAAAGTTTGAATTTGAAAACAAATTTTTAAAAATAAGTAAAAAAAATAAAAATATTTATGAGTTAAATTATCCATTAAACTTGCAAAGTAAGTGGAAATCAAAATCTAACTCAAATCATTTTTCAATCATAGGCGATTAATGTCTTATATCAATTCCAAACTTAAATTTTAAAAGTATCACTACAATCGAATCAAGTCTGATCTAATCAGAACAACATCGAAGAAATTTTTTTTTTAATTTGTTTTTTATAGTTGCAGGTTTGTTTTTTTGTCTTCGTCACTGCTTCTGGCAATTTGTTTCTGCTTTATTAAAGTTTCCGTATTTCTTTCTGCAACAACCGATAACAAGTCTTCTCAGTTTCGTCTTTTATTGGTATTAATATATAAAAAAAATTCCAATAATACAAGAAAACGAAAAACTTTAGGATAACAAAAATTACACTGACCGGGAGTGGACCACTCAGCCACGTGTCAGAAGAAGAGAGGACCCTTGCATTATCTTTTGCTTTGTTGTATTTTTATGGATATAAGTCTTTTATCTTGTTCGTTCATCCTCTTTCCACCTACTTCTTCTTCGTTTCTAAATTATGAATTAACAATAAAAAAATAATCATCAAATTCGACAGCTAGAATTTACTAGATTCAAAATTTTAAACATAACACAAAAATAATACAATTTAAAATTTTAATAAAATTAATAAATAAAATTAAAAAAATTAAAATTTTATATTAATATAAATTATATATAATTTTTATGTAAAATATTATATAAATATATAAATTTTTAATATTTTATACCATATAAATATATAAATGATCAAATTTAAAATTTACTTTTTCTTGTACCAATTACATAGATAGAAGTGAAAATTTTGGGTAAATCTAAAAAGTAAAATGTTTTTACTTATATTTAAATTCCAAAAACTTTGCAAGGTAAAAACAATTTTTTTCAGTAAAAAAAAACTATGATTTGAGAATAATAGAAAAATAATAAATTTGAATATCAAATTTTTAAATATAATTGCATAAATCAATTATATTAAACATTAAATTCCAATTTTTTTGGAAACCAAATAAGATAAAACCAAATTGAACGTTAGATTCACATTATCATTTGCAGGGGTGAGTCAAAAATGATATTTTTATTTTTAATTTTTTTATATATATATATATATGTAATGTTTATATAACTAACTTTGATTATTGAGTGGACGTCCCTTCATATAAATATGCATAATAATCTTCTAATTCTATTGATGGAATTAAAGAGTACTCAATCTGTTGCATGACGTGAGGGAAATAATTTATATGTCCACTAGCATTAGAGTCTTAGTCAAAATTGGTAAATTTTTCTTGGATTCTTATGAGAAAAAAATTAAAACTAAAATCCAAGAAGTGCCATGGAATTGGGGGAATTGTTTTCAAATTTCAACCATTCTTTTTCATCAACAAGTCCGCACGCCCATGACCTAAGAACTATACTTTTAAGAACTCAGTGTCATTCCCTTAAACTTATTTAATTTGCCAGCTAATTTTCATTGGAAATTATAATAATTTCATTTTAATTCCACACTTTTTCTTGCTTTTTTTAAATGATTTAAATTTAATAATTTAAAATATAATACGATGATATAATACAAATATGATATGAATGTGATATAATTTAAAATTTTAATGATAATTATATTTAAGTTTAACAAAATAAAAAAAATATTTTATATTTTATGTGAACATGAATTATTAATTGTAATTTTTATGTAAAATATAATATAAATACATAAATTTTAATATTTTATATGATACAAATATATGAATTATCAAATTTAGATTTTTTTTGTTAATTCCGCTCTATATATAATCAAGCTGGAATAACTGATCTCTTTGAACAACAAATGGAATCAAAAGAAGTTGATTCCCGACCTAATTTTCATTAGTTTATGCAATTTTTCTTGCTTTTTTAAATGATTTTTCTCTTGATTCCTCACTATATATAATCAGGCTGCAGCAACTGATCTCTTTGGACAACAAAATGGAATCAAAAGAAGTTGACTTCTCTTTCTCTTCTCCAACTTCCCTCTCCAAGACAAGGTTTGTTAAAAGCTAACAATTGTTCAATCTCCTTCTCAGATGCTTGAAAATTTTGATGAAATGCATGATTTTGGTGATACCCTTTTGGATGTTTAACATGGTTTTGATGATGGTATGGCAGATGGTGGAGTAGGGACACGGTTGCAGTAGTGACCGGAGCCAACAGAGGTATAGGGTTTGCGGTGGTGAAGCGGTTTGCAGAGCTGGGTTTGTCGGTGGTTTTGACGGCTAGAGATGTGGAAAGAGGAAGCAAAGCAGCTGAATCACTGAGGGAGCTGAATGGGCTTCGTAATGTACACTTCTTTCCTCTTGATGTTTCAAACCCTGCTTCCATCAAAACCTTTGTTTCATGGCTCGAAACAACATTTGGAGGATTGGATATTCTTGTAAGTGATCATCTCTCATTAATTAATCTTCTTTAATTTGGCATTGTAATTAATAATTTTATACATAATTTTCTCTAATACATAGAATACATACATGCATCTAACCTTCTTAATAAACAATTATAGATAATATGCTTTGACTATGAAGAAATTAGAACCAGACAAAATCTGAAAGTATCTTTATTCGTATTATTAAAAAGTACATTGTATTTGTTTGTTAAGTTAAAAAAAAATAATATTAAAAGAAAACAGATCGAAACATGATTGGAGCATACGTACCCTCACATGGGAGAGTTGAATATTAGTTATAAAAGATTTCAAAAAGTTTATATTTGATGTGATGTATAAAATTTTTATTTTAATAACATATCAAATATATATTTTTAAGATTTTTAAGATTATTATAAATAAAATTAATCGAATTTAATTTAATTTAATAATTATTTTTAAAATAACTTAGTTGGATTTTTTTAATTAGTCCAATAATTTTATTTATCATTGACAAAAATGACTTATCTTATACTTATACTTATAATTTCAATTTGGATTTTTTTTTTATTTAGAATGAATAAAAAGTCCCCTTTTAAGAAGAAAGAGTAACTAGCTATATAAACACAAAAAAACAAAATTTTCACTGCTTTTGAAATAATAGTATTGAAAGTCTCAATATGATATTTTGTCATTTATTTACAAAAATGTCACTATCATATCCATAGTTTAAATTGCATGCCTTGCATTCTCTTCCTAATGTGATGATCTTGTGCTTCAAATTCAAGATTATATTAAACTTTATTAAGATTAGTCCTTCATTGTCAATTTAATTAGGTTTTTTGTGTGGAAAATTTAACTATTTATCACAATATAAGTTTGAACATCATGAATAATTAATTATTTTAATTAAAAGACTTGTATTGTGTATGAAATTCAACATTAATTAACTTGCATATAATTAGCCAATATTTGTTTTGCTTATGCTACCTATTTAATTGTTCTAATTAATATATATATTGCTACTATAAACTATATAATAAAATGTTAATTAATTTCTATAGCCAGCCCTATTTGACAACAATTATTATATTAAACAACCAAACTTGGCTGGAAGTCATGAAATTTCACTCAAACATATATATAATATATTTTTATGGATGGCAATAATTAAATAATCTACCTGAATGGCATCAAATTTCTTAATAATTCCATATGTTATGGGCAGTGCTTGCCACCAGGAAACACGGGCTTGATCCAATTCAGGTCAAGAATTGGATCTTTTTTGGAATTGATTCAGTTTGAAATATTAAATTCTTAATAAAAATATTCTTTTAATTTAAAATATATTTGAAAATATTAAAATATTTTATTTTTTAAAATGTTTAATGGCCAGGCTTAGCCTTGGGTTAAACTTTAGAAGACCGATCGGGCTTGACTTAATTTGATTTATAAAAAAGATAACATACGTCTTTTTTTTTATTTTGTTTTTCAACTTTAATTTGTTTTCTTTTTTTTTTTTCATTTTATGATAAATATTCTAATAATTTATTTTTTCTCAGGTCAACAATGCAGCTGTTTCATTCAATGAAATCCATGAGAACTCAGTGGAATACTCGGAGACTGTCATCAAAACCAATTTTCATGGAGCCAAGTTACTCACTGAGTCGCTCTTGCCATTGTTTCGCCTTTCAACTTCTATAAGCCGTATACTGAACATTAGCTCCAGGCTTGGCTCCATCAATGTAAGTACATAGGAATAATCTTAATTATGCTTTCCATTTATGCTTCTAAAAATATATTAATATTTTTATTTTAAAATTAAAATTATATAAAAAACAAATTATATATTAATTAAATAAGCTAATCGAGCTAAACTCCAATTAAAATTAAAATAATCTTAATTCTAAATAAGTATCTTGATCCGTATTATAATTTGAAGGATTTTTTTAAAATTTTTTTAAATATAAAATTTTGAGTATTCAAAGTGTTCTTATTATTCTTAATAAGACGATTCGATAACAAATCATTTCTTCTAAAGCACACCTCTTTCGTTCCGCTTACACTAATTTAATCAATTCTCAAATAAAAAAACATTAGACATTTCATTTTCTGAAATCAATACTTTTAATGTTAAATAACGTATAATAATTTCTATATGCTACACACCTCTAATTAATAATAACAAAAGATTTTTATTTAGTTACAATTAGTTAATAGATTATAATATTATATTCTTTCATGTATGCAGAAAGTGAGAAACCTTGGAATCAAAGCAACTCTACAAAATGAGAGGCTATCAGAAGAACAAATAGAAGATGTGATAAATTTATTTCTTGAAGATGTGAAGAATGGGACATGGCAAAGTCAAGGGTGGCCAGAAATATGGACTGATTATTCAGTGTCAAAGCTGGCATTGAATGCTTATTCCAGGGTTCTGGCAAGGCGATTTGAAGGAAGTCGATTGAGCATTAATTGCTTTTGCCCTGGATTTACTCAAACATCAATGACTCGTGGGCAGGGCACCCACACCCCAGATGCTGCTGCTGATGTTGCTGTTAGACTGGCCTTGCTACCTCCTGATCAGTTACCAAATGGAAGATTTTTTCTGGGATTTGGATCTTATAACAAATCTAGACTATGAAATTTGTTATGATCTAATGACAATAGGTTTTTGATTTTGATGATTAATTACTTCTAATGATCTGAAAGAAAGCAATCTGTCTGTTTTTTTGGAATATATATGAGGAAATCTAGAACAGATTTCGAACCTTGAAACGACTTGAAACTCAACATCAAAACTAAGAAAAGATAAGAAGAAATATTATTTTGATTGAATTAGGAAGTTTCATGAGTTTTGTTAACTTAGTGATTAATTGAACTTAAAATTTAATCCGATCGATTCATATAATCAATTTTAAAAGATGTTATCAAGTAAAAATTAAATTTTAAATTCTAATATTTATAATGACATTCTTTTTCTTTAACTATGACTTTCTCACCAAGATGAGGAATTATATGTTGCTTTTCTTATTTCTTCTGCCTCACTTTTTTTCCCCTTTAATTTTACTTTCCGTCACCTTTTCCAGAGAATCAAATAGAGCATTAATTTTTCTGAGCTGAATGAGCACTTTCTATGGCCAACAGTCTCTTCTACATCCTTTTTATGCCATGGGAAACTTTTGGAAGGCAGACTAATTTCTTGGTGGATTTCAGCTTTGGAAGGCAAAAACATTAAGCACGTAGCAAGGCTGGGATCTTGACATGTAACATGGCTTTTTATGGTTACTATGTGTTACAGTACATAATAGAATTGAAAATAATAAAAGAAATAAATTTGACAAAAGTTGGAAACATATATACTTGTTTCCCCCTGTAAAAGGAAAAAAAAATCCAAAGATATTGCCATTAGTTCTCCATCAATCAAGATAATTTCAGTATTACAGTTTTTAACAGTTCCTAATCGTGGCAAAATTAATGCGTCTGTTACCTAATAGCTAGAAGCTATATTAACTTTGGCATTGGTCTTCTCTATGTTCATGGCTAGTTACACATGAATCTGTCAAGATATTGAACATTTGATTCATCCATAGCTTTAGGTTGAAGCCAAAAAGGCCACCTTGCCGGTAATAGTATTTATTTTATTGGTTCGATTAATTTTCAAATCAAATTATTTAAAATTAAATTAATTAAATTATTTTATTTTATTTTTATTAATCGAATTAAATTTATTAATTTTAAAATTTAATTAATTAAATTATTTTGATTAATTTTTTTGATTAATTGAATAATAAATACATTTAAGTGAAATTATATTTAAATTATTAATTTCCCATATTTTAAACAAATTAAACAAAAATATCTAACAAAATATTTAGATACCAAAACAACATATTAAAAATTCTAACAATTTATGAAATAAAATAATCCATTTCATAAATTTTTTGTTTTATATTTAGATTTTATTATATTTTAATTAAAATTTCAGTTAATTCGATTTTTGAATCGAATTAATAAAAAACTGAAATTTTTTAAAATATTAACTAACCAAAATTAATTTCATAATCAATTAATTAATTAAATTAAAACAAAATTATGAACACTTCTAGCCGTTGAAGGCCAGAACCGGAGCCCCAAGCCGTCAATTTAATTTTTGTTATCCATTAAGAGGAACCTTGTGCGTTAATCTTTGTGACTTGACAAGAAAATAGTTACTCCTTTTAAGCCACGATATGACTTAAATGGTCCTTTTTTATATATTGCTGATGTTTTCAGCAAAGCTTGAGCCAGTTTTGGGTTGGCCATGGGACTGTACTTGTCTATATAAAAAACGAATTCCGATCCAAACAGGGCATTATTGTCCACTGCAGATCAAAAGATGATGATCTTGGGTTGCAAAGACTCGGCTATGGACAAAAGTACCACTTCAGCTTCAGAGATGCTATATGTTGGGAGGACACGATTCATTTGCAATTTTGGATAGAAAATATTAGTTCGTTTCATCGTATCGTATAAAATATTATATTTATATTATATTTTATATAAAAATTATATATTATAATTTATATTAATATAAAAATATAAAATATATATTTTTAATTTTATTAATTTTATTTATAATTTTTATTAAAATTTTAAATTATATTATTTTTATATCTTTTATCTATACTATTTTCATATCATATCATTTTCACTATATCATATTTAAGATTCCCAAGTCTAAAAAAAAAAGCCTAGCAGTTGGTTATCTAGTCACTGTAATACATATACACCTAGCGACGAATTTGTGCAACAGGAACAACTGCTCCTGGAGGATCAATGAAAATGGCAGGCACGTCCCAATATATGAGATAATAATATTATAAAAACAATATGAGCAAATAAGAACAGCTTCTCATGGAAGATCAAATCATCATGAGAGCTAAATGTGATGAACATTCATATTTATTGAAGAGATTTCCTGGTATAATGTGTAAATTTAATAGTATATCAAACAGTTTTTTATCATAAATTTAATACTTAACATTTAATTTTTTATTGTGATTTTTGTTATTCATAATTTAGTACAATTTGGAAATTAATCATTTTAAAAATCACTTAAATTGTGTTCAATGGGCTTATTGACTGATTCAGGCCCAAGTTGTTAGTTAACCCTAACCCATCACGATTTCTACCAAACCCCGCCTTCCACTATTTATACATTAATCTCGCAATTTTTTAACTACACCAGCAAAAAAATATATGAAGAAAAGAAAAAAAAAAATCACAGTTAGTTGCTGTTAGCTTTCCCAGCAGTTTCATTTTCCCTACTGAAACTATTCTTTAATTAGGGTAAAATCAATGCGATTGTTAACTAAAACAAACAGTACAGAAACAATTATAAAAGAATCACTTGGCATTATTTTCCCGTGCTCCTGCTACAATCTTTCATTATCTTTGAGACTTGAAACAATTATTTCTGGTGATCCGTCAACTAGGTCACCGAAAGAAAAATGATTAATCCTTTTTCAATCCGAAACACGAGAAAACTCATGCCGGCTTCCGGCTGGGAATTACTTCAAACAGTACATGTCTACATAACAAACGATTTACCTTCCAGAAAGGGCATGACCCTCTACTGCAAGTCAATAGATAAATTTCATGGAAAGAAACCTCAGATTCGGACAAACTTACCATTTCAGCTTCAAAAACAACATCTTGGGTGTTACATTGTTCCTTTGCAATTTTAAATTTGGAGGAAAACATCATCTTGCTTGTGGAATGCTGTATAATGCGTTGGGAAACACTTCAAGTTGTAAACCACTGTTCAAATGGAGGATCAATGAAAATGGCATGTATATGTATAGTGCTAAAGATGGAGTTTGGAAGAGAGCCCATGGTTGGTGCAAGAAGGATTTCTGGGGTCGTCGTTGCCTATTTAATGTGTTACGGCAAAAGATTTGTGGAGAAAATATTTTATTCGTAATTTTAATGATTGAAATTCAATATCTTATAAATAAAAAATAACTAAATAAAATGGATAAAATAAATTTTTGTTCCTCTATTTTTTTTTTTTTTTGATATAGTCTCTCATTTGATGGCTTAGATTTAAATTTTTGAGAGATTATGAATAGATAATTTTATATAAATTTGATAAATTTAGCATAAATAAATTTATTTAAATTTATCTAAAAAGTAATTTAAAAGATAAAAACTAAGAACCCTTTATCGATTAAAAAAATATTAACGCAGTGTTTGGTTTACAAATTTTAAGATTTTTTTTTAAATTTTAATTTTTGTTATGTGATTCTTATTTTTTATTTTTAATATGATTTCTTGAAAATTTTTTTAGATTTTCAACAATATTAAAAAATTAATTTTTAATCATAAACCCTCCTCACCTTAAAGTTTTTTAAGATTTCTATAAAAAATGCAAAATATGTACATTTTTGCTTATAAATTATTTTATGGTCTATTTTACCCTTTAGTATTAAAGAAATTACATGATAAGCCAATACTCTAATTGACATATACAGAGCATTGCAATTCTCATCCTTTGATACTTAACAATGATCATGTTTAAATTTCATTTTTCAGAAAATATAAAATTAGTTTCGTTTTTATTTGTATTAAGTTTTAATTCAATAAGATTAAATTTGTATTTAGTTTGAACAATTGATTTGAATTTAATAAATAAAAATACAATAATTATTAACATATGTATATTTTTAAATAATATTTTAATTATTTGAAATTAAAATATATTTAACAAATTTGTGGATTATATATATTTTTTTGTTTTCAATTGATTAAAAATTTGTGTTCAAAATTCTATAGTTTCAACAAAATTAGTTTTTCAGACAAAAAAACATAATTTATATTAAAAATATAAAATTTTAAAATATATATTTCAAAATCCTATTACTTCAATTAAAACGATATTTTTAAGATTAAAAATATAATTTCTTTTGAAAATATATTGTGAAAAAAATTATTTTTCCTTTGATTTTATAATTTCAACAAAAATTACATTTTAAGATTAAAAAATAATTTTTGTTGAAAACATATTATAAAATAATTTTATTTTTCCTCTCGTTTTGTAGTTATAACAAAATTTACATTTTTAAAATAAAAAATTTAATCTTTATTAAAATTATATTATTAAAAAAATTATTCTTCAAAATTGTTTTACTTTCAAGGACTGCTTATTTTAAAATAACAAACATAATTCTTGTTGCTTCAAAATTTTATAATTTCAACAAAGTTTACATTTTAAGATGAAAATATAATCCTTGTTGTTACTCATAATAAAATAAAAATAAAATACAAAATGCCTTTACTTAATATTATAGTATATAAAACTTGAAATACTTTCATTTAATATTATTAGATATAAAATCTAAAATATATTTACTTAATATTATTATATATTAAAGTTATTCTAAGAGTGAAATCTCTAAAAATAGGGGTGTAAATGATACATTAATACTCGCAAGTTATTTGGATTCGATTTGAATAAAACTTGAATTCGGTTCGATTATTATTGAGTCGAGCTACTCATCGATCGAGCCTAGTTTGAGTATTTTTATACTCAGCTCGAGTAGCTCGCGAGCCTAATTGAGCTTTTATATTTAAATTTTTTTTATTATTTTAATTAATAAAATATCTCGAATTCGAACTTAAACTCGAGCACAAATAATCGAGTTTTTATTGAGTATAAGAATTTAACTTATTTTTATATATTTTCGAGCTTAATTGAGCGAGTTCGAGTAGCTCGAATTCGATTACGAATTGAGCTCGAGCTAGAAAAATAAAACTCGATTGAGTTTGAGCTGAGTATCGAGCCTCGAGTTGGGAGTCTAGCTTGAGTTCGAGCTTTTCACTGTATCGACTCGACTTGACTCGATTACACCCCTATCTAAAAGCACTGAAAAAAAAGTTATAATTCTTAACTTTAAGAAGGATCAATCTACGTGTTTACTCAACATAAGAATAATAAATATTAAAATAATAATTAAATTCACTTAACAAAATATATATACAAATATTTTGAAAATATTTACTTACATAAATATTATTTTATATATATAAAACAATTTTAATGATTTTTAATTTTTAATTAGTTTGGTAAAAATATTAGATAAACCATTTATACCCTAAATAAATAGCAAAATAAATTAACATGTTAAATAAATAAGTAAACAATTTAAATATAATTATATATCATATGTTATATCGTATTTTTATGTCTGTCATTATTAACGCGTGATCAAAGACTGTAAAATAAAAAATTTATTAAATAATCTTAAATTCCCTTAAATCAAACAAAAAAGTTTTAAATTTTTAAAAATCAACAAAAAACAAAAATTACTCATTTTCTTTTAATATAATTTTTTCTTAAAATAACTTTTTCTTCCAAAATTTAGTAATACGCGGACGGCACACTTTTTTATTTTTTTGTTTTATTTTTTTTTGGTAAAAAACGCGTGGTATTGGTGGTGGTGGTGGGCTCCACTTAATATTTTATATAAATAAAACTGCCACCGTTGATCTTATATTTTTGTTTCTGTGATTCATTAATAGCTTCGTAACCCATTGTTTCCATTCAGTTTCGGACATAAGATGAAACAGATTTTCAGAAACAAGATTGACCGACTGTTCGCTTCCGCCGTTGATTCCTCTGTGGCGAGACATAATTTCTATATATCCTCCGCCACCGGCATCATCCTGTGCCTGCTTCCCCGAGAAAACATTGGAGGAAATACAGTTCCGTTACTCTTCAAGGGACAGCCATCGGCCTTCTATGCCTTGGTGGTATCAGTGATCTTTACATTCACTGGTTCGTTCACGGCGTTGATGATCGGAGATAACTCCAAGACTTCAAGATTCTGCACGCTTTATTCCATCGTCGCCATGGTTTCAGCTTTGTCAATTCTTGCTAATGTCTTTTTATTCTGAGTACTTCTTCAGGTGCCTTCTACTTGTCTTACAAAATCTAATGCTCTTCATCTCTATCTTGCTTTTAGCTTTTGGATCTGGTGACTACAGTGTTTTTTTCTTAATAAAATTCGCTATGGCAATTTAGCCCCTTTTGCAGGAACCCTAATTCACAAAATTCCCTCTTTTTCCTCACTCCCCCCAAAGTAATCTCAATTCTTTCTAGATATTCACTCTCAAACCTTAACAATAAGGATTTTTTTAATGCATAATTAAATTCTTGAGCCTCTGGATCTGGTGATTATAGTGTTTTTCTTAATAAACTAGCTATGGCAATTTGGTCCCTTTTTGCAGAAACCCTAATTCACCAAATTCCCTCCTTTTCCTCAGTCTCTCCAAAATCATCTCAGTTCCTAATAGATATTCACTCTCAAATCTTAACAATTGTGAAACCCAAAGATTTTTTAATGTGTAACTAAATTCTTATTCCAATATCTAAATAAGAGTTAAAGCCTGCAACGTGTTGCTGCTGATGATGATTCGAACTTGTTTGAATGCCTTCTTGCAGTTAATAGACAGAAGCAGTTCGGGCAAGCTTTTGATAGGGATAGTGGAAATAAACCCAGTTAAAGCCCCCATTTTTTTGTCAGATTTTGCATTTAGGTTTGATGGAGGCAATTGAAGTTTAATGTGTTTGAGTGTCAAATTTCTCCATAATCATAGAAATCATGCCATGGGTACCATACTCTATAGAAAAAGAGAGAAATAGTTAGAATTGGAGTATTAGCATTGTGAGTTACTTATTGTCTTGCCCTGAATTGATTGTAGAGCTAAAGTCTTTTCATTAAGAAACTGCATAATTTGGTTTCTAGATCTGTATTATTAGCCGCTGTCTTACTTGAAACCTGCTTCATTCTAAGAATATTTTGAAATGGTATAATGGAATGTAGTTCCACTCATCTTCAAGGGACATGAATCTGCCTCGTCCCTTTCCAGACTATGAAAATGCTTTTCACACCCTTGTAATGTTTATCCTCTTTGTTTTAGTAATTGGGTGTAAATGAGTTGAGTTACTTGTCTTGGTGCAAACTCATACGTAACTTGTTCATTATCTTGGTGAATTTCAGCTTCAACTTTCTGCTTTTTGGATGGCTGGGCTCTTAGTAAATAACAGCCTTGCACCAAAGACTAATAATTTTGATGCGTTCGACTTTGGTGTATATTTCTATATTGTGAGAGCTATTGGAGGTATAGATGAGCTTCAGGGGCCTATATATAAGTTTGAGGAGCAGAAAAAGGAAGAGGCTAAGTCGAGCATCAGATGAAAAGCTTGGTCACATTACTGTGTGATATTGTAGACAAGAACAAGGTAAAGGTCTGTGTGACAGTCACAAAAATATGAACTTGAATCTGTTTTTGAACTAATTGTCTTTGTTGGTTATACATTATATTCTGTTAGATTGAACCTATAATTGTAGGTATGTTTTGTTAGATTGAACCTTTAATTGAAGGTACTGTTATGCAAAGTTTAGGTTTGAAATCAGGTGGTCAAGTTGTGGGCTTGTAGCTGAGTTGATATATGTACCAAGGCTATTATTGCCATTGGCTCTCCGAATCTGAAGAAAATTCAGCCTGAAAGACAGATGTGCAGGAAAGGAGTAGTTTTCTAGCTGTGCAACACTCGATATCTATTGCAAAAGCTTTCAACTTTTCTTAAAGCAAAATGCTCCTGAAAAGAACAATGCTTTTCTTTTCTTTTGCACCACGAAAGTTGTCAGAGTAATGGAAAGTTTTCACATCCACTACACGTTTTCTCACATTCATGTCATCCTTACTATAACCATGACCCTGCCTCCAATGACATAAGCTTATTTTAAGCAAACTCTTCTTTCTCCTCTCACGCGCCAGCCCTCGAATTTGAGGGTACTCTGAGCGATGCCAACAAGCCGGAACGAGGTCGTGTCGCGTGGCAAACACATACCGGCATCTGACGCTTTATCCCAGGTCTGTTTGATATATTGGTTTAAGCATTATTGCCAAGGTAACAGGATTCTTTGCCGCTTGTCTCATTTTGCTACATCATTCATGGCTTCTGGAACCACCAGCAGCAGCAGAAACATCAAAGGGAGCCAAACCTTTTGGGATAGGACCTGGATGTTATATATAAATGAGGGTATTGCAGTAACTTGCAATACTACTAGTGATGGTCGAAAACCTTTCTCAAGGAAACACCAATCTAGAATTACTGGCTGTTTCAGTTTATGACTGTTTGGTAAGAATCAAGACTACTGTCGTTTCTTTCAACTGCTGAATTCATATGCAAACATTAACACAAAAACAAGGTTTATTAATAAACGCATTAAACAAGCATCTGAAGGCGGTATCTCAAGTATTACTTCAGAGCAAAATCAACTTCTACGAGGAAACTTGGGTCATCTGTAACAAATATGTAAATATAATTTGCCTTATCCCAAATGACCGTGAAGGCATTGCAGGGCAGATGTTAATGCCTTCTATAAAATCTCAAGTTTTGAGCTAAGAATCTGTTAAGTAAACAGAAAATTAGTCGCAACCACTATCCTTAATACTCACTTGGCTCAAGCACCAATGTTGAAAGAAGCCTTCAATCTCCCAACAAGATGTGGCAATGTCTTAATGTTATCCTCGATGGACTGGTCGACACATGACTCCAACTCATTGATTGCATCGGTTTTATCCTGCTGAAATTTAGCTGATTCAAACTTGTTTTGGCAGACCATAAGGGATCTATTCAACCTTTCCTACATCCATTAGAACAAGTATTAATCAATGTATTATTATGGTGCAAAATCTGCCGTGAAAGGTCAACACAATTGCACAATATAAACATGAATTTAAGATTCCAATTTTATATTTGAAGGAACCAACAAAGTGACTAGGAAAGCAACAGGGAAATACTGATGAAAATAAAACTTTTTCTGAATGGCTTACTTTCCTCTTCTTTGTTCCATACTCCCATTCTCTTGACATTTTATCATTTTATCAGGTTTTCTGTTTCGACCTCCAAATCTATGAAACTAAGCTTGGTATTAAGTTCCAGCTATTTTGGAATCATTAATCACATTCAATCAGGTCTAAACTACAAATTATGTTAAACTAATAACTATTTGCCATTTGCTTATTCTACTGCACTTAAACCAACCATAAGACGTCATATGCTGCATTTAAGCATTTTCCGATAAATAATCTTTAATCCAGGTTAAAACTAGCTAATTATGTCTCCAGAGACTTGTTCAAATTAACTACCATTAGCTGTAAAAAAAAGGGCAGGGAGGAATAGCATTTGATGGAAGTGGCGTAGCTTGTCATAGATTTCTAACTTGAGTTAACAGAATGGGCGGGAGATCGGTCCAATGTTGCTTTGCTGCCTCACCACTCATATAATGATAACATTTCTCTAATATTATCCAGAACCATGGCATCTGAGTGGATGCTAACATAGGAGAATGGAGATAGTTAACTTTCTAGATAACAGAAAACTAAATGGAGAAAGATCTTCATCTTTGATATTTCCTAACAAAGAAAGGGATAGTATTGCCATCCCATCACATCAAATCCACTGATCCTCTCTGTTAAACTACTTAGATTCTCAGAGAATGTATACAAGTGAAAGAACAAATTTAAGAGGCAATGAATTCAATTTGTGCTAACTTTTGGAAATCCTTCCAAAAAAAGCTCCAGAAACACATAAAAAACAGACAGTAAAAGCAGCTCAATCTAATATAGAAACTGTATAAGGTCCCTAAATTTGCAAAGACAAAGAAAAGTGGAGTGGAAGCAATAAAGTGCAGTGAAAATTGAAGCAATTTTTAGCCTAAGAAAAGTAAAGCTGTTCAATTAGGGGACAACTGATGCTTTATAGCAACAAAATATTTTTCCTGAAACAAAAATTAGAAAAAACAAATGAAACTTACTTGAAACTTGGCCATCTCATTCTCAAAATGCTGTTGAGCATTAACAAGAGGAACACTGCAATGTTCTACACAATTGCTTATCTCCTCTTGTTTCCTGCTTCTGTCAAAGCACTCGTAGGCACACTTGAAATACGCTTTCTGCAACCAATCATCACAAATTTTAAACAAAACAACACAACCAAGAAGTTAAATTCATAACTATAACTGGTCAGCCAACAAACAAACTTGACATCTGACAATATTAAAACAAAAAAAGAAGTAAAGGCTTACAATATCTAAAGCAATCAGCAAGTTAAAAGCTTTACCTTCTAATCTGAATTTGGTTTTAACAAAATCTAAGCATGAATTAAGCAGAACCCATTTGCCAAAACGAATCAAATAGCCCACAAAATCATACTTTTATGCATGTAATTGAAAAAAAAAAAAAAGATACCCAAATCAGAAAGATGAGTAAGGATTTCAATTTTGGGTAGAAAGAGGGGTAAAACCTGAAGAGTGAAATTGATGTGGTCTTGGACAGGACCAAGTTGGGCTTGAGTAGCCATATTCACTTCATTCAGTTTCCTCCACTTTCTCTCTGAAACAAATTGCTGTTCCACTGCTGCAACGTGATCCATTTTCCTTTCTTTTTTCTTTTTTCTCTGTTTTCCCTTTAGTTTTTCTTTTTCAGTCGGCTCGAGTTGAGAAAGAGACAGTTAGACATCGGGTTTATAAGGTTTTTGGTCGCTGTTTAAAAAGGTTATTTATTTGTATATTATTAGGAAAAAAAGACAAAACAACTCTTGACTGAGTGAGAGTTTGTCTTCAGTAGTTAGTTTCATAGTTCAGTGGCGATCTCGAGAAATCCAAGGAAGCCCTCCGTCTCGCCGGCCTCGTTGATGGGCTGATCGTTGGTCTGGTGGGTCTACCGCCGTTGTCAAGATTGGCAATGTGCTTGACCGAGGTGGGGAAGGGCTCAGATCCTTTATTTCTCGGAGAAATTGAAGAGTGGAGCTGTTAAAAATGGTGAACAGCTGATAACTTTGAACGGTAACCATGAGATAATGAATGTCGAAGGTGATTTCAGGTATGTAACTGAAAAGGGTTTAGAGTAATTTAATGTTTGGGCTTATTGGTATGATATAGGGAACAAAATGAAGAGTTTGTGTCATGGGTTGGAAGTGCCTAAGGACCCTTTTCGTGGGATTCCTTTGTCTTTTCCTGATGTGCCTGAAACGTCAACCATAGTAACAGAACTAGAATTGCTGCATTGAGACCTGATGGTCCAAAATTCCCGTAGACTTTTAGCTAATAATCTGACAGTTTTGGTTGTTGGAGAGTCTGTTTTTGTGCACTGAGGAATTTTAGAGAAACGTGTATTATGGATTGGAGAGGATAAATGCGGAGGTGAGGGATTGGATTGTTGGGTTGATGGGGAGGCCTGCACCAGGGAATTGTAAAGGGAGGAATGCTGTGGCTTGGTTGAGGAAGTTTTCGGATGAGTTGGCCATGAATTGTGACTGTTCACTTTTGGAACATGTCCCTGCCACAATTCCTGGTGCAAAGAGGATGATTATAGGTCATACAATTCAAGAGAATGGAATCAATGGTGCTTGTGATAATAGAGCAATAAGGATTGATGTGGGAATGTCCAAAGGGTGCATCAATGGGTTGCCTGAAGTTTTGGAGATTAATGGGAATTCAGAGTTGACGGCATTGACTTCGAATCCCTTGTATCAGAAGAAAAATAAATCTTATGCAGATGCAGAAAGGAAAGAAGGGCTTGGATTGTTGATACCAGAACATGGGCCAAAACAAGTTGAAGTGAAAGCTTAAAAGTTTTGAGCATTTAAATTACTGAAAGCTATTGTGAAAGCTATTGCCTTGTAAGTACTGCACATATATTCATTCGATGTGCATTTTTTTATGTGCATTGAACTGCAATCTTTGATTATACAGTCATTAATGTAGGAACTTGATCAATATAAAGATTCCTTTAGCAATTTTGGCTGTTGACCAATAATGTTGCTAGTGTTTAAACATAGTAGCAGAAAGTTTCTATACTTACCATTCTAGCTAGCATGATCTGTACCTTGTATTGGACTCTGGGAAATAAAAATTTCTCCAATTATGTTAATTCCGTACTGTCATGCTGCATTTTCATGCTGTAAACATTGTGAAGTGCCTTTTCTTTCTACAAACTTCTTAGAATTAAGCTGTACTTTGTGTATGCAGTCTCTGGTTAGGTGAGGAACCTTGTGGAATATAAGGTTTTGTATGTCATTACCACCAATATCATGATGCTATCTTTCTTATAATTTTCTGTCTTGGGTTATGTTCTACATGGAACTTTTAGCGTAAAAGTCCATTCAACCTTATCATCTCACCATAACCTTTGCTTTGTAAGGTTTTTGTGGTTTTCTTGCTTGGATAAGGTCTGTCATAGTAATGGTGGTGAAGGTGAAGGTGTGAATTGCGTGTGTTGCTATCAATTCAATGAGTAAACATCTTACTTGGATTGTAATAGCAAAAGCTTGGCATTCTGCTTAAGTAGATGACCCAACAACAAAACAAATGCAGTACTAGCCTGTTCTTTTATTATATGAGAACCATCACTGGCCTTACCTGTCACATGATCTAAGCTTTTTATTAAGATGGTGAATTGGTTTGATGGAAGATGGAACAAGGCATTGATTTAATTGAAGCTTCCATTAGTATGGACGGCAATGGATTGGGACGAGACAGTTTTTTTTCACCTCGAATTTGATTTGATTTTATAAAATAAATACTTGAATTCGATCATATTTGATATTAAAATATTATTTATTTATATCCAATTTAATTCGATGCGTACATATGTAAAATAACAAATGATTCGATAAATTTTAATTTAATATAATATTTATAAAATATTTTTTAATATCAATTATATCTTAATTTTACATAATATAATATTTTTATTAAATTAATATTTTAAATTAAAATATTATATAATAATTTTATTAATATATATATAAATATAAAGTTTAATAAATAATAATAAAAAAAATATATATTAAGTCAGATAAAAGTGAATTTATTTAAAATTTGACTTCGATTTTATTTTAAAAATAAAAAATAAAAAATTCGATCTAACCTAATTTAAAATTTAATTTTTCGAAAAAAAAAAACTCATAAAATCAGGTCAAATCATTCAAAATTTTTCCTCAACCTGCGGACCATTAGACCCATCATGAGAGCTAGTTACCAACTACAAGGCTGATTAGTTTTCAACTATTATCAGTTGCAATCATCCACAGATAAAAGAAAATAAAGTCTCATAGCTTCATTTGTTCCAATCACTTGATTGATCTTTATAGAGTCTAAACATATGTAGTTCTTTCTCTATTTGAGTCGTTTTTTTTTTTTTTTATAAATTTGGTGTAAATATCTCATATTAAGATAAAATATATTATATCTGATTATTTAATATAAATAATTATAAATTATATATTCAATATGATTCCAACAAATAATCAAAACTCAAACTCAAATTTTTTCATCGAAAAAATAAATTTTAATAAATTGAATTAATCACTCGTTGGTTTAAGTTAATATTTTAAAAATATGCAAAATTTAGTTAAATAATAAACATTTTTTATTTATTTATTTTTATTTGTAATTAATCGATTCAACAATTTTCAAAATATCCATTAAAATGTATAAAAAAACCTGAAAATTTTCAAATTTCAATATAATTATTTTATAATAAATACAGTTTTAAGATAAATAAGTGTATTGAAAATTAATGAAAAAAATAACTCAAAATATGTTGTTTATCTGAAATAGCGGAGCCCAAGGAACAACTCCATCCAGACCCAAGTCCAACAAAGGCACCTCTATTTAAGAACCCAAAAAGGGCAATTCCGCCATTTCAAATTAGTAATTGGATCTCAGTTTTGAGGGTTAGGGTTTTGGTTCCTCAATTCCCAGACCTCTATATAAAGGACCCTTTACCTCAACTAGTCCCTGCAATCTCAGGCGGCTCCCTCGTCTTCTTCTTATATATGGAAGATATCTTTTTTATTTTTTCAATTTTTTTTTATTTTCATTCCAATTACGTGAAAGAAGCCAATTTGCAGAGCAAAGGCGTCAACTTTTTTATGTTTGAAAAAAATGGCGTGATTTGCATTGAAGGTTGGCAATAATAAGAAGTGATTCTCCGTGCCCATCAAATTTCCTTTATTGTTTTGATCGTGGCCTCGAACAAGTCGCTACATTTTTTTACAAGCTTTTTATTATGAATCAATTATTTTTATTCTTTAATTGCGCTTGCAAAACAAAGTACAATTGTTTATTTCAAATCTTATTAAGTTCATAACTGGAAAGAAAGTTTAGTCATTTTGATAGAAATGATGAGAGATCTCTGCAGCAGTGATGGAAATGATGAGAGACCTCTGCAGCAGTGATATTCGGTTTTAAATTCTAAAAACCCTAAACCAAGAGGAATATTGTTATAAAAGACACTAAAAACTCCAATTGTTATTTGGGTTTTTGTTGCTAATTTTAAAAAGTTTTAGAACAGTCCAGATTCCAGTTGTGTGTGTAAGGGTAGCAAAAGGTGACAATATCTAATGTTTTATTGATTAATTTATGAGGAGAAATTATATAAATTATGCCATTCAAAATCAGAAGGAAAACCCAAAATTAAGATGTTCTTCTAATGGTATCTGGCTAGTTATTCAGCTGATACTTCTCTTGCTACCAGAAGCTTGCTATTGAGGGTGAGCGGTGAAGTTCTTTTCTCATGCTTCATGCATGGTTGTTGGAAAGAGATTCTCACAAGATTCTACGTGATGATGATGTATGTAAAAATCTTGTGGAGAAAATGTTATCCCAATTAAATTAGCTGATAAACATTCTTAAAACAAATATATGTAGGAAAATACTGTCACCTGCATATATTATGTAACGTGACCAAAGTATTGCTAAACTCTACAGCTACAGGGCACCAAAATTGGCGTTAGAAGCTATAGAAGAAAAAGCTGAACAATGAACTCGTACAAGGAAGACACTATCAAAAAGAACACATCAGAAACTACAGTGGCCCCAGAAGAGATTGTATCTACACTCCAACTAAAGCCACGCAAATGACACACCCCACTAAACAATTCCTTCTCTTACAGATGGCAACATTACATTGGAATTTAAAGAGAAGTTGCAACTTCATCATGGTTCTCTCTAGCTCTGTTCTTTACTTGAATGAGAAACACTCTGGAGGAGAGGGAAATTGATACTTCTTATTTGGACCTTTGGCTAAGAGCATCACTTCTCTAAAAAATCCAACTAAATGGAATACTGGGGGCTTGCTTGAGCTCTCTAGTTTTACGCCTATCAGCTGAAAGTCCATTTATCTCCTTCACTTCCCATCTGTCCACCAGGAACTGTAGTATATCAGCATAGTCCTCTTTGGCAACAGCTGAGAAGTGGTCGAAGAGCTTGTAATCTTGATCAGCCATCATACATCAAGTGAACTGGCATGGAGATTTTCTTCCTCATCATGTCAGCAAAGGCCAGCACTGTTCCATCAGTTACATCTCAAAGAGCTTTTCAAAAAATTCTAGTGTATGCTGTCTTACGGAGTTTTCATCTGAGGCAATGGTGTTTTTTGAGAGTGAAAATTAATCAAATGTCAATCATCCTCCTGAATTGCACTCCTGAATTTCTACACAATTTAGCGAAATTCCATGATACAGTGCAATGTGAAGATACATTCATTTTCACAAGGTATTAATCCAAATTAGAAGATGAAAAGAAACAAAAAGGCATCCATGACAGTCCAGAACTGGTGCTTGGGTTTCCTCAGCCCCTCCACACACAAAGAAACACCACCAAATGACTAAAGAAAACAGAACTTAACAAACTGTGCCTCAGAAACCGCAATATGAAGTAACCAAATGTCTAGAACTACATAAATTTTCTTTCTTTTCCAGTACATGA